CAGCCAATTTGCCCAGTGCTATGGCAATCCTACTTCCGTAGTGATACTGCCTCGGAAGCCCAAGGAGGGGTCGCTATGAGTCGGGTTTGACTCGACGGCACATAACAACAACAACATATAGCTTTGGAGGCATAGTGGATAAAGCATCTGGCTGCTAACCAGAAGGTCAGCAGTTCAAACCCACCAGCTGCTTCAGGAAAGGAAGATGGGACAAACAACTTCTGTAAAGATTTATAGCCTCTGAAACTCAAAGGAGGTTGCTATGAGTTGGAATTGACTTGATAGCTGTGAGTTTGGTTTGGTTTTATATTTGAACGGCCAACCTTTTACTTAGCAGCTGAGTATTTTAACATGCATACATGCATGTAAGGAGCTCTGGTGTCATAGTGGTTAAAATATTCGGCTGCTAACTAAAAGGTTGGCAGTTCAAAGCCACCAGCCCCTCTGTGGCAGAAAGATGAGGCTGTCTGCTTCAATAAAGATTTACAGCCTTGGAGACCCTATGGGGGAAGACCTACTCTGCCCTAAAGGGTTGCAGCGAGTTGGGATTGACTCGATGGCAGTGGGTTTGTTTGTTTTGTTATATGTGTGTGTGTATGATAAATAATTGGGTTCTATAATACTTTAATTTCTTGTTTTGGTACATAATAACAACTATTTATTATCCAGTCTCTTATAGTAGCATGTTTATTCCCTAAGTTTTAATTATTTTTCTTTAGTAATTCTGGGTAGTTTCAGCAGAGAAAACTTTATGCTAAATTTATTTTCCTGTATAGCATACTGACAAATCAAAGATTACTGAGCTCTGAGCTTAGAGTTTAAAAGTTGATGCTCCCTGATTTCATCAATATTTAAAGTTTTCCGACCTCTAATTATCATTGCCTTATTTTTTCATTCACCATTGAGACAAACTGAATAGTGGAACTTTTGGTTCCTCTAAGGAGAAATAGGCATTTTGTAGCAGCTGGGAGCAGCTGCAAAACACCTCTTTGTGTAGTTTCCCATCCTCTTATGCCACAAGTGCCTTCTGCACAAAGAGTTTGAAATGCAACTTGAGCTAAGGAAGCACCAGGATTTGGCCACTCATGCAAGATTGTACGGACCAAAGTCAAGCGAGACTCTCTTTCTTCAGAGCAGAGTGAAGAATATTGGCTTGATTGGTGAGAGGAGAGTAGGGAGAAATAACTCTGGCCTCAGAGTCTAGGCCATGTCTGTAGAGGAGCTGGTACATGGTCTTCCCCAGATATGGTTCCCAGGCCTTCTGAATAACTGAACACTGTCCATCTAGTGACAGATTGTGACTGCCTTCTTGGAGAAGCTGCACTGCTA